TCACATATTCCATGAGCCATTGATCTGAACTTAGCCTCAGCACTACTCCTTGCCACAACACTTTGCTTCTTGCTTCTCCACGTAACTAAGTTACCCTAGACAAATGTACAATATCCAGATGTAGATCTTCTATCTGTAATAGATCCAGCCCAATTAGCATCGGTGTATACTTCAATACCTTGCTGTTCATTTTTCTTGAAGAACAATCATTTTCCGGGGGTACTCTTCAGATATCTCAAGATTCGGTGGACTGCCTCAAGATGCTCTTCATATGGAGAGTGCATAAATTGACTCACAACGCTGACATCAAATGCAATGACTGGGCGAGTATGTGACAAATATATCAGTTTCCCAACCAGCTTCTGGTGTCTTACTGTGTCCACCGGTGTTCCTTTTTCTTTCTCCAAGCTTTAGGTTCGGCTCCATTGGTGTTTCAACTGGTCTACAACCACTCATCCCAGTTTCTTTTAGGAGATCAAGAACATACTTTCGCTGAGAGAGAGCTATGCCCTTCTTGGATCTTGCGATTTCCATGCCAAGGAAGTATCTCAATTATCCCTAGTCTTTAATCTCAAACTCAGAAGTTAAGCACTGTTTCAACCTCTCCATCTCTACCAAGTCATCTCCAGTGAGGATGATATCATCCACATAGACAATCAGAATTGCAACTTTCCCTCCGGTTGAGAACTTCATAAATAGAGTGTGGTCTATCTGCGCCCGAGTGTATCCATGTCATTTCATACACTGAGTAAACTTTTCAAACCAAGCCCTTGAGTCCATATAGTGATTTTTTCAACTTGCACACTTTAGAACAAAATTTTTTATCAAAACCGAGAAGGGAGTCCATATAAACTTCTTCTTCCAGATCCCCGTTCAGAAATGCATTCTTCACATCCAGTTGTTGTAGTGGCCAGTCTAAATTCACAGCAATAGACAAAAGTACTCGAACTGTATTAAATTTTGCGACAGGTGCAAATGTCTCTGAGTAGTCTATCCCATATGTCTGTGTGAAACCCTTAGCTACCAACTGGGCCTTGTACCTTTCTAGTGTGCCATCTGCATTGTATTTGACTGTAAAGACCCGTTTGCAGCCAACAGTTGCCTTTCCCACCGGTAGGTCCACAACTTCCCAAGTTTCATTTTTTTTCTAGAGCCCTCATCTCTTCTAGAATAGCCTCCTTCCATTCAGGAACATTTAGAGCCTCCTGCACTGTTCTAGGAATTCTACACGAGACAATTGTGAGGTAAAAGCACGAAGAGAAGGTGATAATCTTTCATAGGACACATAGTTGGACAGGGGGTGTTGTGTACAAGATCTAACCCCCTTACTATGAGCAATAGGAACATCTAAGTTATTAATAGACTTAGCTTGGACACTAACTCCAAAGATTTTGATTGAGACAGAGATGTACCTGAAGGGGATTCTGGATCCGTTCCCAAGTTGGATTCATGGCAATGCTGCAAAGGAGGAACTCTCTTTCCTTGAATCGGTTTTCTTCACGAGTAGACACAGAACTCTTGAATTTTCCCACTTGGTTTTTCACACATCTCTATACCTAACCGGTCATCTAATGGCATTGAAGGAGGTCCTCCATCATCCCTAATTTCTAAAATATCATTTCCTAGATGTGGATTTGGACTTGATTCTAAAGACATAGGGTTCATATTTAGATGGTTTGAGACTTCCTTACTGGTTCAAAGGGGTCATTCTCAGCAGGATCATGGTTCCTGTTATATTCGGCAGCAGCAGGATCAACAGGATATTCGGCAGCAGCAAGATCAAGCACAATAGGAGAGTCAAGTAGGTCAAGTTCAGTTTCTAACCTCACATCTTCACTATCATTCTCCCCCTGAAGATGATTCTTACAAAAATATTTATGTGTTTCAAAGAATGTCACATCCATAGTTACAAAAACCTTTTTTGAAATTGGGTCAAAACATTTGTACCCTTTTTGTGTTGGTGAGCAACCAATAAAAACACACTTTTTTGCCCTAGGATCCAATTTCCCCCGATTATGATTGTGCACATGAATGAATGCAACACAACCAAATACCTTAAGTGGAATATCAGTGACAAGCTGTGATGTGGGAAATTTTTGCTTAAAACAGTTAATGGTGTTTGAAATTTCAAAACTCTTGTGGGCATTCTATTAATTTGGAACACGGCAGTAAGGATTGCTTCACCCCACAAGTATTTTGGAACATTATTTGTAAAAAGTAGTGACCTAGCAACCTCAAGAAGATGTTTTTTTTTCTTTCCGCCACCCTATTTTGTTGAGGGGTGTCATTGCAAGAACTTTGGTGAAAAATCCCTTTTTCTAAGAAAAATTTGCCCAAGATTTTATTAAAATATTCTTTCCCATTATAACTTCGGAAAACCTGAATTTTAGTTTCAAATTGTGTTTGAACCATGTTGTAATAGTTTTTGAAAACTTCTTCTGCTTCAGACTTTTCTTTTAAAAGAAACACCCAAGTTACCCATGTGTGATCATCTATGAAGGTGATAAACTATCTTTTTTGAGAGAAAGTGCTAACCCTAGAAGGTCCCCAAAAATCACTATGGATAATTGTGAATGGTTTTGAGCCCTTATAGGGTTGTGGAGGAAAGGAAGCCTGGTGATGTTTTGACAATTCACAAATCTCACACTGAAATGAAGATGGACTTTTATTGATGAACAATCTAAGAAACAAAAATTTAAGATATTGGAAATTTGGATGTCCTAACCTAAAATGCCATAACATGACTTCTTTACTGCTAGAAACAGCAATAGACTTAAAACAAGTATTTTGAGCTTGTCTTCCCAAGCTTGATCCATCTTCAAAGAAATAGAGTCCTCCACTTTGTCTAGCATTGCCAATCATCTTCCCCGAGTTTGAATCCTGAAACTTACAAGAAGATGTGAAAAAGTGAATTTGACAGTTTAAGTCCCGAGTTAGTTGACTGACAGACAAGAGATTACATGACAAATTGGGAACATGAAGAACATTTTGAAGAGTGATGAATGGAGAGATAGCAATGGAACCTTTCCCAGCTATGGCTGAAAGGGATCCATCCACTATTTTAATTTTTTGATTTCCTGCACATGGACTATATGAAGAGAACAATTTTGATGATCCTGTCATGTGATCAGTTGCACTAGAATCTATGATCCACGAGCAATTTATATCGGAATCGACACTAACAAGGGCAGTGAGATAGTTACCTTTATGGGCTAGAGAACATGATGGATTTGAGGTATTTACAGAGAATTGTGAGGATTGGATGATTTTCAACAAGTGGTCTATCTGTTCCTTTGTGAATGGAGAGCTTTCTGTTGAGACTTGCTGCCCTTGGTCATCATTTGAAACTTGGAATGCTCGGCCACCCCCTTCATTCTTTTTCTTCCAGTTCGGCGGCTTCCCATGTAATTTCCAACATGTTTCCCGTGTATGCCAAGGTTTCTTATAGTGATCACACCATGGCTTGTCATTCTTCTTTGTGTTTCTCCTGTCTCCGTCCAAGTTAGCGCCCCGAGAAACCAAGGCAGAGGTTTCGGCCTCTGTTACTCCTCTTGCTTCTTCTTTCTCCATCATCACACTCCTTCGCTTTTCTTCCCTTCTCACTTCAGAGAACACCTCTCGGATGGATGGAAGTAGTTTCCTTCCTAGAATCCGACCTCTCATCTCATCTAATTCCCTGTTGAGTCCGGCCAAAAAGACAAACACTCTATCATTCTCCACCCTCTTCATATAGCGCACGCTATCATTGGTGCAGTCCCATTCTTCCTCGTAGCATAAGTCCAATCCTGCTAAAGGTTCACCATCTCGTTGTAATAAACCGTGACCTCTCTATCCCCTTGTCTTGCCTGCCATAGTCTTGATTTTATCTCAAATATTTGAGATGAATTTTCTAAGTCGGAATAGGTCTCTCGTATGGCATCCCAAATTGCTTTGGCGGTTGGAAGGAATAAGAAGGGCTTTCCAAACGAGTAATCCATGGAATTGATAAGCCATGCGGTAACCATGGAGTTTTCGGATCTCCATGTCTTCAACTTTGGGTCGTTCTCCCCTAGTTTCTTTGCCTCGCCTATCAGGAACCCTAACTTCCCTTTTCCATCGATTACAAGCTTCACGGTTTGAGCCCAAGACAAGTAATTCTTCCCATTTAATTTGTGTGCCGTCAATTGCAACGTATTAGATGGGAGATTCATGAAGGAAACGCCATCATCACTGCTTTGGACTGTGGCTGAAGTGTCTTGCGAACTCTCTGCGTCATCTCTCGTGGAAGAGGAACTTCTATTGGCGCCGGCCATGGCAGTTTTTGCCATTGGAAGATTAGGTTAAGAGCCTAAGCTCTGATACCATGTAGGATTTTGGAGGAAAATATTTATTCTTTTTAATCTTCACATAACCGGAAAAATACAATAGTTATATAGAAGAGATTGAGAATCTAATCTTCTTCTAGATAAACTCCAAATCCTATCTTTAACAATCCTTATCTTATACTACAAAATTTAAACTCTAGAATTTAAATCTTATTGATAACACATAAACCATAACTAAACCTATCTACTCCTATATTTCCGACAATAGTCAAGCAATCAATCATGTGACTTATATAAGAAATTCAATGATGCTTAGAGATAATTTAGTTGGAACCCAATATAGGCTTCATTCTCCAATTAATAATAGTTGTCCGTCCTAAATATTCTGGGACTGCATCTTTGAAATGTTTCTTTACTTTTCAAGGAACCTATGCAGAATTTTATTTACTCTTTATTTCTCTTTTTGTATATGTTTCTTTACATTGACTTGCTTAGTTTGGCAAGCAGAAAGAGTTCTGCAAAAATTGCAGGCTATTGAGCAAGGCAACGTTCAAGAAGTTGTTGTGGAAACTATTTTTGTAATGAATAACAGTTATGGAAAGAACTATGAATATGAATACTAAGCTCTTGTTACTTTATTTTCAGCTTAGTTGACATTGTATCTGTTCTTATATGGGAGAACTGATTTACATGCAGGTGTTTCTATGGGAATGAGTTGGTTGGGCAGGTCAGTTTTTTCTTTTTGCTATAATTTTTTTTAAAGTCATCCACCACTTCAAAATATATCCTGAATTAGAAATTTATAATCCATGTTTGCCACTTGAGCAGAATTGTAGGCCAACATTTGCTAGTAGTTATGTCTTATACGATCTTGTGGCTTTCTTTGTTCTCTTCCCGCCCTTTTAGTGTCTGGATTTTATTACCACCAAAAAAATTGCGTTTAACATTTTAATTCATGGTACAGAAACTGCCATGTGACTGAAACATCAATTTCCATATTCTCTATCATATTGACTGACTACTCTAATCCTCTACAGTACAAGTACAACCATGCTACTATTTGTTGCACATTTTAGAGATACTAGATGATAACTGCACATTTAGATGTATTGCCCAAAAAAAATACGTGCCCCTTTAAATGGTTTAGTTTTGCCATTTAAAAAGTGGTTTTTTTTCTTTTTCTTTAGGGAACTAGGGTAAAAAAGGAGGATAAAAAAATAAAGTGGTTATTAATATGCAAGCTCTAAAATCTCTATCTATGATTTAGAATGAAATGAAAACACTCATTCATGCGGGAACGTCCGATGATTTAGAATGAAATGAAAACACTCATTCATGCGGGAACGTCCGATGATTTAGAATGAAATGAAAACACTCATTCATGCGGGAACGTCCGATGTCTGTTGGTACCACAAAATTGTGTTGAGATTCAACCGGCATTGGTATATAATGTGCAAGCTCCTAAGTAAGATTTATCCTTCTGTTCTCTGAATTTCTTCTTGATTTTTATTGGTTTCATTTCTCAAACACAGAAGACATCTAACTCTAACGTTGAGCTTGCCCTGGTCACATTCAACACTCATGGATCCTATTGCGGTATGCATTTTCCTCACCTTCCTATTATGCCAGTAACTGGTAACTGGTTGTCATTGTTATTATTTTATTGCATTCTAACATAACAGGTACGTTTTTGAGGAATATAACATGATTCTCTTCTGCTTCTTCCAACTCATGTGCTCCATTACAAGACAAATTTTCAATGAAAGTCATTCCGAGTCTGCAAAACTAAGAAAATTTTCCATTATGCTTGACATTTGTGTTTGAATTTCACTTCATAGAATAACTGCAAATTTTCTCCCGTGTATTTGTGGTCACAAGTTAGAGATTAGGTTTTGTACTTAAAATTCCTTGTAATTGCTATCTAATTCATAGAACAGGCCGAGAATCTGACTCTACTTTTACTTTCCATTTTGCAGGTTGTCTAGTGCAGCGGAGTGGCTGGACCAGAGACATTGATAATTATTTGCAGTGGCTTTCAGCCATACCTTTTTCTGGTGGTGGTTTTAATGATGCTGCAATTGCGGAAGGGCTTTCTGAAGCTCTAATGGTGTCATATATTTTTCTGTGACATTTTTTTTTTTTTTTTTTTTTTTTTTAAGGAATGATTTTTTGACCCTTATTTGTGTCCATTTTCCGGCTTTTAACAACATTTCTTTTTCTATTGAATATTTTAGATGTTTCCCTCTATGCAAAATGGAAATCAGAGTCAACCAAATATGGATTGTCAAAGGCATTGTATTCTTATTTCTGCAAGTAACCCTCACCCCCTGTCCACTCCTGTCTTTCGACCACAAGTGCAAAACTTAGAACAGAGTGAAAATATTGATGGACAAACAGAAAACCGTCTATCTGACGCTGAGACCATTGCTAAATCATTTGCTCAGGTAATGTTACGGGCGTGTTCTTTCCACAACTCAAGTCATGACTCAAATTTTTTTATGTGAGAGAAAACACTGTAGCAAACAAGTTGAATTTGAATTTTTGTGAGAAAAATACTGTAGCAAAAGAACTTGAGTTATGAAAAGAACAAGTAGTTGTTTTTCCTTAGTCTGCCAGCATTTTCTTTTCCTTTTTTTAACTCCACAAGGGTTGCACATCACAGTTGTTGAGTTTCTAATTTTCCCTGCAGTGCTTGGTTTCTCTGTCAGTCATTTCTCCAAAGCAGCTTCCTAAGCTTCGAGCAATATACAATGCGGTAACATTCCATACATCAACTGAATTTCTTATTCTTTATCTTCCTCTTCTTCAAAGCTTTCCAAATTGTAAACAGGACGTGTTTATTATCTCAATCACGTCTCTCAATCTGCTAATTCCTTCCCTACGTTTTTGCATGTCTTATGTGACCTGAGACTCCAAAATAAATGGCTTGAGCTACCATGTAGAAGTGTTAGCTTTTTGGGCACATTGAATTCAATGTCGATGGATGATAATCTTCAAATTAACTTCCCCCGAATTTTCACTTTTAAATACAGGGAAAGTGCAATCCCCGAGCAAACGATCCTCCTATAGATAATGCAAAAAACCCTTATTTTCTTGTTCTACTGTCTGAGAATTTTTTGGAGGCTCGTGCTGCTTTCAGAGTTCCAAGTTTGCCATCAAATCAGAGTCCTGTAAAAATGGACATGGCTTCTGTTCCTTCTGTTACGGGGCCACCTCCAACTTCTATGCCATCAGGTTATGTATTGTGGGCAATTTGGTGATCCTTTTTGTAATATGGTGTATGTCAATATGTCATGGATTTCAATCAACTTCCTTATACTTTTAGGATCCTTTCCCTTTTATCACCTGAGTTTGATTTATAAACAAAAATATCAATTAACTTGCATGCTTTGAATTTTTCTTATTTATTCTGCGCTTTTTACTTTCGCCATGTGGATAAAGCTATTTTACCCAGTTATAGGTGCTTTGATAACATGCTTTCTGACAATTGGAATTCAATAAAGGATTCCTTTATTATGCTTTCTTTTAATTAATTTCTCATGTAAATGAACACGAATTTGAAAATGGCAAAAAAAAAAAAAGTTAAACTTCTGAGAAAATTTGTCATTGAAGAAGACTAACATCATTTTTCTTATCCATAGTGAATGGATCTGTTATGAACCGGCAACCAATTTCTGTTGGAAACATGCCTCCTGCTACTGTAAAAGTGGTAAGATTCATTTATATTTCCATTTTCTTGCTCCACTCTATGGAAATGATGGTTGTTTTCCATTTCAATTTTGTTACTTTAAGGTATCTTAGAATGGTTTTGATCTCATAAACAAATCTTCAGGAGCCAAGTACTGTAAGTTCCATGGTTTCTGGACCCACTTTTCCACACATTCAGTCTGTTGTTCGTGCTGCTTCCCAAGGAGTCCCGTTGCAGACTTCTTCACCATCTTCTGTTCTCAAGACATGATCTCAAACAATGAGAATGGGCCAGATTTGAAACCTATAGTGAGTAGTCTATCACAACCGCTGCGTCCTGTGGGACCTGCCCCTGCAAATGTGAACATCCTAAACAATCTGTCGGCAAAACGTCAAGTCATAAACTCTGCAGCCTTACCTATGGGTCAAACTCCTATTGGAATGCACATGTCAAACATGATATCTAGTGGAATGGCATCTTCTACACCTGCTCAAAACACATTGCCATCTGGTCAACCAGCGATAACATCATTACCTGGGTCTGGGCCTCTGACACAGGTTACGCAAACCCCTGGTCTTAGTACATTCAGTGCAGCTACTTCAAATGTGTCTGGAAATTCAAACATTGGGGTCTCTCAACCGATGAATAATCTCCAAGGAGGTGTTAGTATGGGTCAGTCTGTACCTACCATGAGCCAAGGAAATATCTCAGGTGCACAAATGGTGCAAACTGGAATGGGCATGAATCAAAACATGATAAGCGGCCTTGGTCAATCTGTTGTCTCTTCTGGAACTGGCACAATGATGCCTACTCCTGGAATGTCTCAGCAAGTACAATCCGGGATGCAGCCGCTTGGTGTAAACAACAATTCTGCAGCTAGCATCCCAATGTCACAACAGGCTTCAACTGCTCCTCAAGCATCCAAATATGTGAAAGTCTGGGAGGTAAGTCTCCTATATATGTGGAAGATATTGGAGATGGATGTGATTATACCTGGTTACATTGTTCTACAGTTTCATGATTTTGTTATCTTACAATGTGTCTCTCATCGTCAGTGTCAAAAATTGTATTTTAGTCTTGGCCTTTCCAAGTTCTTTATCTATGGAAATTGGAGAACTGATAAATTTTCAGCATCCCTGCCTCTTGTTTAGCTTGTTTCTCAATTAAGTTGAAAATTGATAAATGCAATGTACAGCTGTTTCAAGTTAATTCCTCATAGACGATTATGGACTTATAGAGATGTTTATATTAGGTGTACAAATTGACACCTTGTTCTTCTTACTCTTCTCTCATAACTGAACAAGAATGGAAATCTTTGGAAATGAACCTATAGTCCTAAAATTTTTTCTTTCCCTTGGACATCAACTTTATTTGTTAGGCAGAAAGCTTGTTTTCCTCCCTGATGGAACACAGCAACTGTAATTAACAAAGCGAGTTCTAATTATCGAGGAAGATTTCCTTTTTCTTTTCTTTTCTTCTCCTTCTTTTTCTTCCTTTTCCTTCTTTTTCTTCCTTTAAAAAAAAAAAAAAAAAAAAAAAAAAAAAAAAAAAAAAACTATGAGTTTTTTAAAAAAAAAAAAAAAAAAAAAAAAAAAAAAAGAAGCTATGAGTTGTTGTCTCTAGTTTAATTGCTTTTTTTCCCCCCTTACAAGAGTAATTGCTTATAATTAAATCCTCACACATATGCAGGGAAATTTATCAGGGCAGAGACAAGGACAACCTGTATTTATCACCAGATTGGAAGTATGATCTACTACCGTATACATATACACACACACACACACACACATATATATATATATATATTCTTTTTCTTCTTAGGAGGTTTGTTTCAGGGTTTTGTTTTCCTTTGTAGTTTGGGTCTTCCCTTGTGCATTTACTAGGATTCCGCTCTTTTCGTATTCCAAACTTGTTGTTTCTGTGTAGAATAACAAGTATTTGTTGTAAATGTGATACCCCCTATGATGTTTTTTTACTTATCATTTATGTGCTTCTTCAGTCAATCTTTTTCATTAGAACCATGCTGCGTCCCCCTATATTTTATCACAATACAAACTAATGGTTGCTATCTTTTTTGTCAGGGCTACAGGAATGCTACGGCTTCTGAGACGTAAGTCCATCAAATTTTTTTTCATTTTTTTTTTTTTTTTTTTTTATTAAGAAAAGAAAAGAAAAGAAATGGAGTCTAGGAAAATTTTTCACCGTTCAAAGAAAATTTTAAATGTTCAATTAAATTTTAGTTTAAAAGTAAGAACCCATGAAACTGATATTCCAAACTGTTGAAGTACTTGTACAAGTCCTACAAAATATTACACTTTCAGTTGCCACTGCTTATTTATTATATATGGTCTATAAACTTGAGTTTTATCAACTTTCAAATACCCATGTTTACAGTTTCCCAAATTTTTTAATTTTTTAATTTTCTTGTGGTTTTTACACTCGATTCTTATTTTATTTAACGGCCTGTGTCTTTTCCACATATTTCAGACTCGCAGCAAATTGGCCAGCGACGATGCAAATTGTTAGGCTTATATCTCAAGACCACATGAATAACAAGTAATTGCTCCTGCAAAATTTTATATCTCGTCTATTTTTTTAGATTTTTTTCCTTGAAATGATATAATCTGACATTTGTTAATTTAATTGCATTGACCTCAGGCAATATGTTGGAAAAGCAGATTTTCTAGTTTTTCGGGCAATGAATCAGCATGGGTTTCTTGGTCAGTTGCAGGAAAAAAAGCTTGTAAGTCTATATTTTCTTTTTTTTTTTAATTGATATGAAGCAACCTATTAATTTCACATAGCTTTTCAAAATAACAGTTTCCTCTTACCTTGTAATAATTTAGAAGTTCAAGACTTGAGTAGAGTAGTAAGCGTGGCAATGGTAAATGAGTGACAAGCTCATTGTAAACTGTAGTATAAGGAAAATTGTAGTAAATAGTAGATTTTTTATACTAAATTAAGGAAATAGCATATTTTAAAACTATTTGAAGTAAATAGCAATTTAAGTGGTAAATGAATCATTTACACGGTAAATGATTCATTTATGATTCGTAAAAAATAACTTACGTGCTAAAATATCTTTATTTACATGGAAAAAATCTTTTTATCAATTAAAGAAATTTTACGTGAAAAAAATGTTTACTAGCTATAAATGAACCATTTACACATTTACGCTGTAAATGATTCATTTACCACATAAACTGTTATTTATTTCAAATAGTTTTAAAAACTGCTATTTACTTAATTTAGTTTCATAAATATGCTATTTACTACATTCTCCCTATTTTTTCTCCTTGAGAAAAACCTATTTCAGCTTGTAAACCAAAGAAGATAGGTCATAAGGCTCTAAATATGAATTGTGAAATGGGTCTTGAGGCTTTAGTCCCTTACATAGAGTGCGGGAGAGAGAAATGTCAGTATGTTTGCGATTTGAGACTTTCAACCTTGGTCATTTTCAAGTTTTGAAATACGTGGATTTTACAGTAAATATTTTCGAAATGCGGAAATACCATCCGGCGCGCCTAGATCGGCAATAAGAGTCCGCTATTTCCTTTCCGAGCATGGGTTCGACCCTTAGCAACTTTGAAATTCTCTCTTCCTTTTTTTTTTTAAACAAGTGTAATGGTGGTCAATTCGGCTCACTGGTTTACTTTGGTTTGTGAGTTTTTCAATTTTCTACGGTCGGTTTGTTGGTCAATGTTGGTTTTTCAGTTTTTTTGAACAGCTCTACCTTCTACAACAAATTTTTGTACTGTGTTGTATCTTCTGGGAATAGATAGAGCCACTGTGATGTCAAATTATCAGGAGGCTTTTCCCTCTCTTTCTTTGTTTTCCCAACTGCAAGTCGAGTGTATCTCACTTTCTTTTCATTTTGATCTTTGTCTTGTTTGCATTCCAAGTATATTACCATAACATTATGCATTGGAGTACAGAATAGTATAGCACATCAAGGCCCTGTTCATTTTACCGATTCGAGTTTTGCTATAGTAAAAAGCTCTCAAAAACAGTCACATCTAACTTTTTTGTTACAGTAAAAAACTCACGTAAAGTCACATCTCAACTCGAATTAAAAACTCGAATCAGCGAACTAAATAGGCCCCAAATATGTCACTTTTACAGTTTTTAGTAGCGAATATAGCATTGATATTTGCGTTTGCATTGGAGATGGTCAAGCGGTTGGACCATTGTAGCCCATAGTTTTGTTTATTTACTGTTGAGTAATGTACTATCTTGTAAAAGAGTATTTGGTTAAGTTCATTTATACGTCTGGTAGTTAGATTATGCTATGTAAGAATGGGAATTAGTCCTGGACAGTGTTGAATACTAATGAAGACTCAATTGCATATTATTTTAGATTTTTTTTTCTGCTAGTTATTTATATGAAATCGCTGACTATTGTATCATATGATTTTTCTGATAATGGATTTGTCATTTTTCCTTTCTTCAGTGTGCAGTCATCCAACTACCGTCCCAGACGCTGCTGCTATCTGTTTCTGACAAAGCTTACCGCTTGATTGGAATGCTTTTCCCTGGGGTGAGATTCCTGTGAACTGAAAATCCCTCAAAAACATGGGCCCATTTGTTTATGTTTCCAAAATCGATTTTTGTATTTCTAGTTGTAGCTGTATTTGGAAACCGTTCTTAAATAGCGTTTATGTGGTATGTTTTTTCGGGAATGCCTCGTTTAGTTAGGAAATAGTCTTTTAAAAAAAAAAAGGAAAAGAAAAAGCCCAAAGTTGTTTTTCTTTTTCCATTCTATTTTTCTAGGACGTAGCAACATTAATTAATTACTAATCAAGTAATCATTAAATATATTAATAATTGAAGTTTTTAGGGAATGATTATTCTCTCATTGATAAAAACATGTATGTGCAGCCCTACTTATACATTAGGTCTCTGTTCACCCTGGCACTAATTACATAATTACTGATTCCATATAGAATCCGGAAATAAAGAATAAAATAGGAAACAAACCAGAAATTAAGAAACTACCATTAATAGAGATATTGGGAATAATCCGAAATCTCTATATTCCTAATTTACTATTGTCAACTATTCTAGAATTTCCTTAACCGAGTATTTCTACAATAATTAACAATTATTTATTAAATAATTTGTGAAAATTTGAGGAAAAATTGAATGAATTGTATATTACATGACAATTACAACCAGTTTATATACAGGAGCCCTAGCCTATAGAAACGGCAATCACTTCCCATAATATGTGGGATATCACACTAAAAAAAGAAACTAACCAAATCAACCTAATTCTAGGGAAACTAACTATTATATTCAAACTTTCCTAATTTAGTCTATACACATGTAAAACACATTCTTCCACACTCCCCGTCAAGCTGGTGAATAGGTATTCACCATTCCCATCTTGGATACAAAACTCTCAAACACTGAACTACTTAACCCCTTGGTGAGTATATCAGCAAGTTGGCCATGTGTAGATACATAAGGTGTACAAATCAGTCCACTATCCAACTTTTCTTTGATGAAGTGTCTGTCAATCTCGATGTGCTTCGTTCGATCATGCTGCACCGGGTTGTGAGCTATGCTGATTGCATATTTGTTATCACAATAAAGTTTCATAGGGCCGTCCCACGTAATCTTCAGATCCTCTAGAACAATCTTCAACCATAGTAGTTCACACTCACCCTGAGCCATTGCTCGGTACTCTGCCTCAGCACTAGACCGTGCTACCACATTCTGTTTCTTACTCCATGTCACCAGGTTTCCACCAAGGAAGGTGTAATAACGTGAAGTTGATCTTCTGTCAACAACTGACCCAGCATAGTCAGCATCTGTGTATGCCTCAAGAACTAACCCTCCATTCCTCTTGAAAAGGATGCCTCTACCTGGTGTCCCTTTGAGAAATTGCAAAACTCTGTATACCACCTGCAGATGAACTTCCTTTGGATTGTGCATGAACTGACTGATCACACTCACCGCATACGCTATATCTGGCCGAGTGTGAGAAAGATAAATGAGTCTCCCCACCAACCGTTGATACATCTCTCTATCCACCATAGCATCTTCTTCTGCCTCTCCAAGCTTGAGATTCGGTTCTATTGGAGTACTCACTGGTTTGCATGCTGTCTTGCCGGTTTCTTTGAGTAGATCTGTAACAGACTTCTGTTGAGAGATGAAAATGCCTTGCTTAGAATGAGTCACCTCAATCCCAAGGAAATACTTCAATCTTCCTAACATCTTGATCTCAAATTCCTTAGCTAAACATTGACTTAGAAGTTGTCTCTCCCTATCATCATCACCAGTCACAATTATGTCATCAACATACACCAATAGGGCTGTAACTTTACCTGAAGGTGAGTGTTTATTGAACAAAGTGTGATCTCCTTGACTCTGCCTATATCCCATAGCTGTCATTACTCTAGCAAACCTCCCAAACCATGCTCGCGGTGGTTGCTTAAGTCTATACAAGGACTTTTTTAGTCTACATACTATACCAGCAGTCAACCCTTTATTATAACCCGGTGGAACTTCCATATAAATTTCCTCCTCCAGTTCTCCATGCAAAAATGCATTCTTGACATCAGACTTCTGCAAATCCCAATCACCATTAGCTGCTAGTGACAATAAAACTCTAACAGTGTTCATCTTTGCAACCGGAGCAAACGTTTCTTGATAATCAATCCCATAGGTTTGAGTATAACCCTTGGCCACCAACCTAGCCTTGTATCTGTTAGGATCCTCGTGGTTTAGTAGGGGTTTTACAACTGAATGAAGGTTAATTAATCAGAAAAAGGGTCTGGTTCCTGTTATTGATATTGAGAAGAACTACAGAATGAAAGATGGAAGGGAATTCGAGGACCCCCCAAGCCTCCCACAGACTTAATGACTATTAACCAAATTCTCGATGTCCTACTCTCTCCTCAATTGGCAGGGATGGCAATGGTGTTTAAGCTGACAAGGAAGGCTCTATGAGATGGTGAAAAGTGTTTAAAGGACAGGAAATGTGCAAGAGGGTATAGGGGTCGGTTTGTGCATTCTCTAACTCCTTTCCTGATAGCAATAGGGAGGTCATGGTCATCATTGTTTATCTCAGATTCAGATTGAAAAGAAGGATTAGAAATTGTTACCTCATTCTCAAGATTTAGATTGGAGTCTTGGACTTGCACAAATTCAGGGACAACCTTCTTCCTTCTCGAGAACACTTTGCCTTTGCCAAATCTCACACTATCAAGGGCCGGATTTGTAGGTGGGTTTACAGGAGGCTCAGGATTTGGATTTTCAATGGGCTCGGTGGGAGGAACATTTTCGGTAGGCTCGGTAGAAACATCCATGGGACTAGGCTGTCTTGACACGTGAAGTGGTGAAGATGGCAGATCAAGAAGCAAAAAATATGCCTTATCCTTATCTTCCATTACTGAATTCTCCCCCTGAAGATAAGGAACAATGAAATAGGATTCTTGTTCATGGAAGGTCACATCAGCTGAGACATAGGACCTTTTTGATGAGGAATGACAGCACTTATACCCCTTTTGAGTTGAAGAATATCCCACAAACACACATTTTAATGCCCTTGGATCTAATTTTTCTCGGTTCTGACTATGAACATGAACAAATGCCACACCCAAATATGCGAGGAACAAGATTATTTGTGGTGTGTGGGTTTGGATAGAACTTGGAAAGGACATCCATTGGACTTTTAAATCCTAGGACTCTAGAAGGCAAACGATTTATGATATGGGCGGCTGTAAGAACCGCTTCTCCCCAAAAAGATTTAGGCACATTTTTTTGAAACAAGAAGGATCTTGTTGAATCGAGGAGATGACCATTTTTCCGTTCTGCTACTCCATTTTGTTGTGGAGTGCTCACACAAGAGGACTCATGTACTATTCCTGCTTTCTGAAAGTATGGAGTTAGGACTTGATTGAAATAGTCCTTAGCATTATCCGACCTAAATCTTTTGATATTGACCCCAAATTGAGTCTTTATCATAGAACAAAAATTTGGAAGAACAGTGCTGACATCGGATTTCTGTTTAAGCAAAAAGATCCAGGTAACTCGAGTACAATCATCAATGAACAACACAAACCATTTAGCTCCATTTACATTGGAAATAGTGGAAGGGCCCCAAATATCACTGTGAATAAGATCAAAAGGAATGGAACTTCTTGTTTAGCAAGTTCACACACTTTACAATGAAAATGTTCAACCTCTAGACCCTTAAATAAAGAAGGAAACAAAAGTTTAATAATCCTAAATGATGGATGTCCAAGTCTGCAATGATGAAGCCAGACTTTTTCTTTATTGGATGAAAAAGACTCTGAGACAGGAGAATGAGATGTTATGCCCTTGGTAGTGTTGGATTGACTTGGTGTTTCGAGATAGTAGAGCCCGTCCCG